TTCTGGAAAATGAATAATCATGAGGTTGTTGGGGTGGGTGATTCATCAGCTTCCATCCCCATGAAATTTCCTGTAGCCTGGTGAAGGGAGTGTTTGCACATCCATTAAATGATGATAAGCATCTTGGTCCACTCTTTTCACTGGGTAGCAGGAAGGGGGCTGGCAGTCAGAGATCCCTAGGAAATCTGTCCAGCATCATAAGCAAGAGTCTGCTGCTCCCACCTGTGTGGCATCAGGCAAGTCACCCCTGCGCCTGGTCATGGTTCTTCATTTGGAGGGTGCAGATACTAAAATTGGGGCTATTGTAAGGCATTCATGGGATAATCTGGGTAAAATCCTTAGCATTGGTTTTTATAGGTCTATTCAGAATTGACTCAAACCCTAGGGGCCAGGTATGATTCAGAGCTCTGGAATTTTCGGATTAAGAAAGTATGGTGCACATGCTGTGCATTATGAAATCCCCTCAGCAGGGTCTGAGGTTATCCTAATCACCAAACACCTTGTTATTTCAGCAGCGAATTGTATGAATATTCACCCTAAATGAGACATAGATTTTGGCAGCAATTTGCAGAGCTCTGGGGATTGCTGGAATTGTATCTAGAGGATGTGAACCCGTGTTACTGTCATTAGTCCCTCCAGCTTGGAGACTGCATCATTTTCCTTGGAAAGTGGAGCCCTGCTCACTGACAGAGTCTGGCTTGGTGTTTTCAAAGGGAAGCTCTTCACACATATACACACCTCATTTGGTTTGGGGTGCAGGAGGTACAGGGTGGGCCTGGATGAGGCCAGTTGGGCAGCACAGGAGGCCAGCAATTGTGCTCACCCTGGCAGAGCTCCCCCACCTTAAGGCCAGTTTGCTGAGGCTGAACAGAACCCTCAGCCCACCCTGAGCGCCACAGAGCCTGTGGCAGCTCCAGCCCTCAAAGCCTCTTCAAAGGTTGATGGGAACCCCCTGCTTTGCCATCCCAGCTTTGTTTGGCTGGGGCTGGTGGAGGGTGGACAGGCAAGCAGCAAGTGCTGAGGACGAAAAGCTTTTGTGAAAAGAGCAATAGTGGATAAAGTTTCAGTTTTGCAGGAAAGACACAGTGAATGGATTGAGCAGACTTTGACAAGCAAAGATCCAAATGCTTGGTTGGGAGTTACAGTTTGCTTTTCCTGGTCCAGGCCCTGCCACATAATTGGCTCTGAATCCAAAGGGATTACCCAAAGAGGAACCGTCAGGGTGGCTAGGGAGGGTGGTGGGAGCATCTTTTAGTGGTGGTCTTGGGGGCAAGATTTGCTAGCACAGTTCCTGCTGGGTTTGAGGTCTCACCCTTCTATCTCTGAGCTGGGTGACCTCAGTATGTTACTCATGCTCTCTATGCCTCACCTGTAAAATGGAGATGATGGCAATCACACCTACCCATGGGACTATGGTGAGGTTAAATGGTTTGATCCATGTAAACCATCTCTCACAGCGAGGGAGAGGGAGGAAGAGGCCAGAGGTGATGATGCCCAGAATGGTGTCTTTGCCAGGTAAGCAAAAGAGGGAGAGCTGGGCCCTGTCTGCAGTGCCCCAGGTGGTTGATGTGCACTGGACAGCCAGGGAAGGGCTGCTGTGTGCCGGCCACACACCCCATCTGTGCTGAGCAGACCTGTTCACATTAGGACACAAAAGAGCTTAGTGGCCAGCCACCCCACCTGCCAGCCAGATGGCCCCTCCTTACTCAGGTAGACATCCTAGACCTATTTCAATGTAAGGAAACCTGCTTTCAGGGTGTAACTCCTTGTGTCTGCCCTGTTGGGTGCCAGGCCAGCTCCCTTCACCTGGATTACCTTCTAACTTTGCTCACTCCTCATAGCTATGCAGTGTGGAAAACAGCAAAGCCCACCCAAGTTAAAACTGCCATTGTCCACTTATCTATTCAGTCTCTAAATGATAATACAGTATTGGCTCTGCTTTTCTCAAAGGGGCTAATTAAGTCACAAAGTAGAATGAGTCTCATCTTGATGTGAAAGCTCAGCTCTGTTTTGGCAATGGTATGTTCTTGGTATTATTACCTTAAGCAAATACCTGAACTATCTGAAGCCAGACTGCCTATTCCAAGGGAGTCTATTCAGCATTCCCATGCCCACTGAATGTGCCAGGCATGATGGTTAATTGTAGGCCCCCCACTACCTTTTCCCATATTAGGTTGAAGCTCTTTGAAAAGGTCATAAAAGATCTAGTGAAAAGCACAGGGCCTTGATGCTTTTATAGGATGGTTTTAAAATTTTTGAGGAATGATTAATATTTAAATTATTTTAAAGCTTTAAAAATATGACAAAGCTCTGAATTTATTTTATGAGGCCTGCTTAAATTTAATAGTAAAACATACATGGAATGCCCAGAAAAAGAAAACTTTAGGGTATATATGAATGTATATGCAAAGATCCTAAATAAAATATTAGCAAGTTAAATCCTATAGTCCCTAAAAGATTATTATTCCTCAGCCAAATAGGTTTATTATGAGAAAGATTATTCAGTATTAGACAATAAAGGACAAAAACTGTATGTTTAGTAGATGTTCAAATTCAATCTCCATTCTTCAGTTTTAAAAAATTCTTTCAGTAAGTTAGAAGAAAAAGAAATGTATTTATTTATTTTGCAGTTTTTGGCCGGGGCTGGGTTTGAACCCACCACCTCTGGTATATGGGGCCAGTGTCCTCCTCCTTTGAGCCACAGGCACCGCCCAAGAAATTTCTTTAACTTGATGAAAGATATTTAGCAGAAGTTATTTCTTTAAACCTAGTAATACTTGATGGTGAAACCATAGAGCTGTTCCCATTAAAGTTAGAAAGAAGATAAAGATAGTTGCTATTAGTGCTATTATTCAACTTTACTCCAGTGAGATTCCAATTAAAATAATAAGACAATAGAAAATACACAAGAGGTGTGCATATACACACCACCACAAAAGTTTGTGAAATAAAACTCTAAAATTATCATTATTTGAATATATGATTTTCAACTTGAAAACTAAGATATGCATTTAAAATCTAGAAAAAAATCTAAGACAAAGAACTTAGTGGCAGTAAAAATTGTGAATTAACTTTTGAATGAACTTATTTGTTAAGGAAAACTTTCAAATGTTATTGATGATCATCAAAGAATAAGTGGACTGATAAAGGAAGCCCCTAAATGAGAGCACTCAATATTCAAATAAGTCGGATTCTCACTAATTAATCTATAAATACAACACAATCCCAATCAAAAAAACCAATAGAATTTTGAGGACAATGGAAGAAGAGTAACATGCTTCATAGATGTGCTTTATCATATTAAAGACACATGCCCAAAAATAGCAAAGAAAAATCTTTTGAGTAGAATAAAATGGTGGGAACTTGCCCTTCCAGATAGTAAAAAAATAAAGTAACTTTAAGACAGTATTACATTAATGCAGGAATGGAAAAAAATATCCTCAGAACAGAGTTTGCAAATGGACCTCTGCAGATGTGAACTTAGTATATGGTAAGAGTATATTTTTAGAGCAGTAGAGAAAGAATATTGAATAATGATGCTGGACTAACTTACCATTTCGGGGGAAATGAAACTTAAGATCCCTAACTCACACCATCCTCAAATATAAATTTTACATGGATTTGGAGTAATATAAAATAAACACTACGTAAATATTAGAATAAAGCATGGGAGATTATTTCAATAATCTTGAAGTAATGACAGCCTTTCTAAGAAGGCATGAGACACAAAAGACTTAAAGGGAAAGATAAACAAATTTGATTACATGAGAATTAAAACTTTCTACTTGGCAAAAGACTACAAACAAAGTTAAGAGACAAATGGCAGACTGAAAGAAAATATTTACAACATGTCTAGCAGAGAAAAAGATTGATTACATTCATTAGATTCATAGATCTCTAACAAATTAACAAGGGAAGAACAAATATCATTTTTTTTTTTTTTTGAGACAGTCTCACTTTGTTGCCCAGGGTAGAGTGTCATGGGCTCAGCCTAGTTCATAGCAACCTCAAACTTGTGTTGCATGGCTACTTTTTCTATTTTTAGTGGAGATGGGGGTCTTGCTTTGCTCAGGCTGGTCTTGGACTCCTGAGCTCAATCAATCCTCCCACCTTGGCCTCCTGGAGTGCTAGGATTACAGGTGTAAGCCACTGTACCTGGCCAAGAAAGGCCAAACATCTTAAAAGAGAAAGAAAAAATACAAATGACTGGAAATAAGTAGAAAGATATTTTCATTAGTGATTAAGGAAATTTAGTTGTTAAAATAGGTTTCCCTTCTCAGATGGATATAAAACAAAAAAGTCTGAGAATATCAAGTGTGGGCGATCATGTAGGGAAACAGTCCTCTACTCTCTTGGTAGAAATACGTCAATGGATACTGCCATTTCGGAGAGCAGTTTAGCAGTTCGATTCAAAATAAAAATAGAGAACATCAGAACCCTTTGGCCCAGAAATCCACTTACGGGACTGTAGCTTGCAGAAACACTCCATGCTGTGCAATAATGTTCATGGCAGCATTGTTTAAGTTATAATTAGTGGAAAATTGGAATCACTTAAATGTTCATTATTATGGGGACAGCTAAATAAAATATGACACATCCCTGCCCTAGAATTCCACTCAATCATCAATAAAAATTAGGCCAATTCAGATGACTGATACAGAATATGGTAAAGTAAAAATAATGAGTTGACAAGGCCTGACCCCACTTTTATTGTTTTTTAATTTGAATATAGTGTGAGTGTGAATAACATACGCACATACGCATCTCTAGGGAGTTTCTGGGATGCCTACTTTTGTTTTATATGCTTCTATTATTTGTGACTTTATTTTCAGTGATCATATTATCACTTTTTTTATTTGTAACCCAAAAAGCATAACAGTAAGAATTGAAAATTTAAAGCCTATAAAGACAAAGGCTTCATGTTGCATTTCTTAGACCTGAGTCCACTTTAAGCCAGAGCAGTTCTGAGCCACAAGCACAATTCTACAAAGAGTCTTTATTCAGTTTGTCCCACATGTTGCATACGGGCGTGCACACCTGCCACACACATCTGCACATTTCCACACACACAGAGAGGTGTCCAGCTCTGCATGTGCAATGCACAGCTTCACAGTATCTGGAACAGTTCTCAGAACATTATAGAATGTATTTATTGGTGCAAGGGAGTAAACAGCCAGAGCTGAGAAGGCAGGAAGGAGTGCATTGAGATTAACAACCCAGCACTACCTCCACCACCCCACACAGGTGAACCATCTGTGGCATCCATGTGTCCCTCTGGTTTCTGGCTTTTTCCATTTGTCTTGAAGAGGGGTGAGCCCAAGAAGACGTGGCCATCAGGATGAAGGGTTGTGTTGTGAGGTCCCCCACCAGTGAGGCGAGAGCCCTGCCTGGGCAGCCGTGGGGCTCACGGGTCCTCACGCCTGAAGAGGGTGAGGTTGTGCTTCCAGATGTGTCCCAGCAATACTTGTCCTCGCTGCTCCAGGGTCTGGAGGACCTGCCTCAGCCCCTTCTCCCCGCCTTGGCTTTCCCAGAACACCGGGTCCATCTGCAGAGACTTGAGAAGCAGATTCTGTAGACACCCTGATGCCAGAACCTTCACCGCAGACTCGGGAAACCTGGAGCAAAGTACCCAGAGCCCAGTAACAGAAGGGAAAAGCAAAAGTGATCTCAGAGAGTTTCAATGAAAGGCAGAGCTTGCACTGCTGAGGAGCCCTGGCCAACCCCTGCAAAATCCCTAGGCCCATACCTGCTCTCTCATCAGAGGACCTTTCAACTGGCTCTGCTGTGAGAGCAGGGAAGAGCTTTCAGATAAGCCCCTCACAGAGAAACCAGGTGGACTGCTTCTGCTCCTGGGCTCCACTGGGCAGCTGCAGGGCCAGAAAGAGCCCTGGGAAGGCTGAGCTGCCTGCCAAGAGGCAGCAGGGAAGTGCAGGCTCCCAGGCTCGCTCCCCTGCCCAGAGCAAAGGCAGAGAGCTAGCCTTCCCACACCCCAGCAGTGCAGCTGGTGCTCTGCAGACACAGGAGACCTCCCTGGATGTTGGGAGTGACCCAGCCAACTCTGGGTATCCCCTCTCAGCTTTCCCCGGCTGTCACCACCCTTTGAATCAGATCCGACAGCTTTTGTCTAATGGACAGGGGGCTTATTGGGAATCATGGTTCAGGGTCCCTTTGTCTGTAGCAGGGCCATCAAGCCTCTGTCCCATATACCTCCACCCAACCCTTCTGACCCTCACCTATCTATGCCCTCCAGGAGCCGAAAGTTGAGTTTGTCCTCAGGGTGCTGAAGGTTGCCAGCGTTATCGATGTAGACCAGGTGAGATGGCTGGCTGCTCCGGACCTCAGGGGAGGATGGACAGAGACGGGGAGGGTAAGGGTACACCACTGCAGGCACCTCTAGCCTGTCAGGGTGAAGGGGCTGGGCGTCGTGAGCTGTTGGTCCCACAATGCACCCCACAAACGGTCCCCACAGCTGAGCGCTTACTCTGTGCTGGGCCCTGTGCAAAGTGCATCCAGGCATCATGTCAGTCGGTCCTCCCATCAGCCTTAGGAGGTGGGCACTAGTGTTAGCCACATTTTACAGAGGCAGAGGCACAAAGACGTCAGCACTTTGCACAAGATCACACAGCTGACAAGCAGTGGGGCCAGTTCAAACCTGGACCTGCAAGGCTAAGCCCCAGCACCACCTGCTGAAATGCACAGAGGGACCTATTGGTGTTCCGGGGCTGAACGGGCAAGGAGCATGGACAGAGTGGGTAGGTGTGGGTGGCCTGCTCCTGGGGCCATCAGCTTACACATGTGCACATACACACCCACCCCTTGGTGCCATCTGTGCCGCACTCCTGGGCATTCCCCTGGGCATCACCCAGAACATACAGTGATGTCCTTTATCTTCAATAAGCCCTGACCACACTCTATCTCCATAGGAGAAGAGTTCAAGTGTCCCCTGAACCTTTTCAAAACTAAAATCAACAATGGGGCGGCACCTATGGCTCAAAGGACTAGGGCGCTGGCCCCATATACCGGAGGTGGTGGGTTCAAACCCAGCCCCGGCCAAAAACTGCAAAAAAACCCCTAAAATTAACAACACAGAGTTCTTCAATTTCTTAAAGAATAGCTGTCTTTTCTCACCCCAGCCCCATACACACACTCCAGTCCCACAGATTCTTGCTAATCCATGAGAATTCCCCAAAACCCTCACCAGTGACCTTAGATCATGAGCTTCTGTCTGCAAGATGCCAGCTTCCCTCTCTCTGCCTCTTCTCCCTCCTTACCCCTCCACAATCAGGGATTTCCTTTCTCTCCAACCCTGCTAACTATTCCCTCTGAAAACTGCTGTCCTAAGGCTCTGTGAAATGCATGCCCACTGGGGGTCAAAAGGGATAGGAAAGTTTTACCTCTCCTGGAACCTTTGACCAGGGAAAAAGAGAGGTGGCTTTGGTGACAAGGGATGAGCATTACCAGGACCCTCCACTAGGCTGTCCTGGCCTTGGGGTGGTGCAGTGTGCCTGAAGCTCAGCCCAGGGCCCCATGCTGACAACTGCCAACATGAGGCTGCAAGGACACTAGGGTTCACTGCAGGAGATAGGGAAGCCATTCCCCAGAGGGAGCACCTTGCTTCCTGTGCAGGAGGGGCCGTTCTGCCCTGGCTGCCAGCCCCTCCCTGATAGCCCCAGCACATTGTTCCCCACCCTGGCTTTGGTTTTAACAAGAGGCAACACAGTATTTCTGGTCAGCACCAGCCTGGGAGCCATCAGGGTCTTGGGTTCATACTCAAATGCTGCCACCAACAAGCCCTGCAGACTCAGAAATTCCCTTTCATCCCTGCCAGGCCAACAGTTCCTCATTTACTGGCACAAGGAGGACACTGACTAGTCACAGTTCTCCAACTCTGCTCCCAGAAGTCCTAGGGGTTCCCTGAAGTCTCTAGGGAGAAGTGGGGACAGTGAAACCAGGGCTCCAGCCCCCACCTCACTCTTCACCTCAGCCACATTCCTAACGCTAGAAACTCCAACATCAGCTGATCTCTGACACTTGTGAAGAGCATCTTCTGAAGGAGACAGGAAGACCCAGGTCTGGGGTAAAAAGGAGGGGTGCAGGGTTGTACCAGGATGTGGACCAGCCGCAGCTCAGCCGGGTTCTGGCATTTCTCTCGGAGCCTCTCTTGCACACAGGGGTCTGAGGGCTCAGGCTCGAAGCCACAGCAGTAGCGATCCAGGCGGTCATGGACCTGTGGAGACACCCAGCCTCTAAGGTGGTGGCAAAGCACCTGTCCCCACCAGGCCCAGCATCGAGGCCACCTGACCTGCTGCTTCCTGTGTGACCGTCGAGGCTCTCTGTGCAGGCAGCCCTGCTGCTGGCCTCTGCTTTGCTCCTCAGGCCAGCTCACTCTGCACACCAGGAGCTGTTTGCTCAGGCCTCAGGCCAGCATGGATTCCCACCTGGTACCCACTGCTTAATCTACACTGCTGCTCCTGAACTCTGGCCTGGCACCACTGGCCTCTAAATGCTGGTTATGTCTACCTAGGGAGACCTGCACATGGCTCTGTTTTGTTTTGTTTTTTCTTTAAGCAGCAAGTGCTACATCAGGGATTCTTCCCTTTTCCAAAGGCACAAGTTCTTTCATGACTGTCTTGACAGTTCTGAGCAGACAGCTCTTTCACGCCGCAGTAGGCCTCAGGGGAGGGACGAAGGCATCTTCAAGTGGTATGGGGTCAGTTCTGCAGAGCTTTGCAGCCATCCCCTACATACATACATAGATGCACAGATGCACAGACAGCATTTCAGAGAGGACCTGAGACTTCCGAGAATCAATCCCACTGCCTTCTCCTTTCTTAGAAGGAAGGTGGAGCAGCCTTCAAGTCAGGAATTAAGAAGACCATGTATCAGCCCTAGCCCTGACCCATGGAAGGACATTATCTGCTACAAACATCCAGGACAGAGGGTTGGGATGAAGAGGCCTAAATAGAGAAGTGGCAGCATCCTCTGGGGGTGGAGAGGGGAGGGTTTGCTGTGGGGAGAAAGACAGGGCAGAGAGGTAGCATGGAAAAGGCCTGGGAGATGCTAGGAAGTGGACGGGAGAGGAAGCCAGGTGGTTAGCTACAGGGAGTTGTAGCCACATGCAGGAAGGGTGAGCTGGGAAGAGTCACTCTTTTTCCCTCTTAGCAAGGACACTTGCTAGATATAATACCTTGATGAGTACTTAGGGTAGAAGGTGAGACACCAAGAAGTCTGGGTGGAGGAGGACTTCTGTGCATGGGTGAGGCTAAAGGGAAGGTAGGAACATTCCCAGATGGGCCTACCTGGGAGCCTCCATCCGTCAGTGAAACTGCCATACTTGTGAAATGTTTGGTGGACAGTGGTGAAAGGGCTGAGGTTCAAGTTCAGGTTTGGTGTGGAGAAGACCCAGATTGGGGAGTCTGGTCCTATCTTTGCAGACTGGCTAGTCTGAATTAGAAAGCCTGGAAACATCACTGGAGAGGACAACACCAGCCTGATCATCTAGAAACCAGCTCTAGTTGCATGCCCTGGTTGGGGCAACTGTCCAGACCAAGTTGGAGGCATCCAGTTGGAGGTGAATGGAAATCAGGTGGTGGGAGGCTGTAGGCAGGAAGCCAGAGGGGTGGAGCCTCACAGGAAGGGCACCCCTGCTGCCTTGGAGCTCAATTGTCAGGAGGCTCCACCACTAGGTTCTGGTAGGATGGCAAGTACCACTGTCCCCCATGGTGGTGAGGAAGCAGAGCAGTCACAGGCTTACCCTGAGCCAAAACAGCAGCCATTTTTATTCAGTACAGCAATGATGGAGTCTCTCTCCCTCTGAGATGATAATGATGAGAGATAATAAGAAATGTATTTGGTCTTTGTCTTCCGTTTCTTACCTAAAGTTCCTGAAACCCTTGGATTTTCATGAGCGATAGGAGTGTCTTCTGTTTTTCACAATGAGCTCCTTTTTATGACAACTGAGTTTATGCTAATGAGGTGACTCAAGGTGAGACCCTTAGACAGCCTCAGAATGGGGCTGGTCATCAGAAAGACACTCCCCCCATTTAGTTACCTCTCTGGAGAAGGTAGAATGGCTGGAGATTGAATTATAAAAATTCTTGAACAATAAAACTCAGAGAGCTTCTAGGTTGGTAAACACAGCCATGTATTAGGAAAGTGGCATCCCCAACTCCGCAGAGGTCTAAGCTCCACTAGATCTCCCCATCTATTCTTTATCTGAATATTCACTTGCACCCTTTATAATGATTAGTAAATGTAAGAAAAGTATTCCTGAGTTCTGTGAATCATTCTAGCAAATTATTGAACTTGAGGAGGAGTTCACAGGAACCTTCATTTTATACACATAGCCATTCTATCAGAGGTAACTGACTGAAGACTTGCAACTGGCATCTGAAGTGGGGGCAGCTTTGTGCAACTGAGCTCTTTAGCTTGTGGAATCAGACACTGATTCTAGGTGCATGTGGAATCAGACACTGATTCTAGGTGCATAACGCCATAATCAAATCAAATTGTTGGACACTGGTTGGTGTTGGAGTGGTGATTGGTTTCACTCCGTGACCACCACCACCCTCCCTACCATCACTATCTCATTTACTTCTCACTGCAGCTTTGCAAGGAAGGCATTATTATCCTCATTTTACGCATGGGGACATTGAGCTACTAAATGTTGAACCTAGATCTTCCTGGCCAGGATAACAGGGCCTTCTGTTATCCTATCCTGCCTTCCTGAAAAACAAGGGTGAGTCAGTTACAGAAGTTAAATAAGGTCTTCCATCGTCAGTCATTATAGGATTAATTAATTTGGTTTTAGCCTTGCTAATTAAGGCTAGAGTAGAGCTTTTAAAACTGTAAAGCAAAAAGAGGAAGCACCAGAAGATTCCAAGTGTCATTATCCATGACAACTAAGGCCACGACAGGCTTGGTGCTGTTTGGATGGTCCATACCTGTCTTCTGCAGTCACAGCTCAGCCAGCCTAAGCCACAGACCTGGTTCAGCTGTAGCTGAACAGCTGGAATAAAGAGATAGTCAGGTCGAGACAGCACTATCCTGTCTCTCCTGCCCCTCTGCAGCCGACCCCTCTCCACAAACAGGGTGACACAATCTGTCACCTCCAGGATGCAGCACGCATCCAAACAAGGACAACCCTGTCTCAGTCCAGTCAGCCCAGCTCAGTATTGGCCAATAAAAGGTTCTGTTCTATTTCCATATCCCTTAGTAGAAAAACTCTCAATGTTCTGACAAATACAAGACTTATTTCCTTCAACATCAAGTCCTCTAAATCTTCAAATGGGAATCTGGAGTAAAATGACAGAGTAAGCACCTCTGAAAATTTGTCCCTCTACAAAAGCAATGAAATAAAACTCTGGAAATTAACCAAAGTCTTACAGTAACCTGGGGAACATTTATGAGAGAAAAACGGTGGAATCTCAGTCAGAACAACGAGCTTTGGAATAGCATTTTAATTTCCCCTAGTCCCACGCCACATTCCCAGCTCAGTTGTAGCCTTGAAAATAACAGTTCACATTCCTAGTATGAAGGGAGAACGACAGGCTTCATTCCAAAAGCATTGTCATTATTTGACCCGACTGGTGATTCCCAAGTAGACCTCACTTGGAAGGCTTATCCCTGGAAGGGTGGAGGATATTTATTGAAAACATTTACTGGCAAGTGTTTTATTAGCATAGCTGCCTGAGATAATGGATAGAGGTCAGGACAAACATTAGGCTAACCAAAAAGCTTTAAAAGGGAAAGATAAGAAATGAAATGTCCAAGGGCCTTCCAAAAGCTCCAATATATTCCTGAAAAGCTAGACAACTACTCACACAGGTTGGGCTGTGCACATGTTCAGGAAGACCTGAAGGGGCCCTAAGCTCTCACTTCTAGCTGACCTTGAGATGCAGAAGCATGAGTGAAGGCAAAGGCAGATTCATCAATTGCATGGAATGAGTGTGGAAGAGCCACACACAGAACCCCTTGGCAAAGACTGGGAGACTGATTGATTCCAAGTATTTATGGAAATTTCTAGTCCAGTCATTAGCTGATTACTGAACTACCTAAGCAGAAAGTTCAGTGGGCACACATAACAAAGAATACAGATGAATACAGAATTTAGTCATAGAAACAAACAAAACAAGCAAATAAAGTAACTATAAACAAAAACAAGTGCAACAGGTAGCAACAATTACAAACGCTGGAGAAAAGAAAGACCCTGATTTTCAGAGCTGCCACATTACATTATTTAAATGCCTATTTTTCAACAAAAAGTTATGAGACCTCAAAGAAACAGAATAAGGCCAATACACAACGAGAAAAAACTATTAATCAACATTGTTCTTGACAAAACTCAGACACTGAACTTATTAGACAAAAATTTTAAATTAGCTATTTTTAAAATGTTCTAAGAGCTAAAGGAAAACAGGCCTAAAGAACACGCAGAAAGTATGAGAATGATGCCTCACCATGTAGACAGTGTGAGTAAAGAGATAGAAATTATAAAGAGAGGCTCGGCACCATAGCTTGGTTGTTAGGGCGCCAGCCACATACACTGGCCCCGTCCTACTAAACAACAATGACAATTACAACAACAACAAAAATGCCTGTAGTCCCGGCTACTTAGGATGCTGAGACAGGAAAATCACTTGAGCCCAAGAGTTTGAGGTTGCTGTGAGCTGTGA